TTAGGTCTTTTATTTGAAATGTTTCTATCTTTTTAAGGTAAGCCTGTATTGCTATGAACTTCCCTCTCAGGACCGCCTTTGCTGTGTCCCATAGGTTTTGGACAGTTGTCTGTTCATTTTCATTTGTTTCCAGAAATTTTTTTATTTCTTCTCTTATCTCATTATTGACCCATTCATTGTTTAAAAGTGTACTGTTCAGTCTCCATGAGTTTCCAAGTTTTTGAAGTTTCTCTTTGAGTTTGATTTCGAGTTTCAAGGCCTTGTGGTCTGAGAAAAAGTTTGGTATTATTTCAATTTTCCTGAATTTACTGAGGCTTGCTTTGTGTCCTATCATGTGGTCTATCTTTGAAAAACTGCCGTGAGCATTTGAAAAGAATGTGTATTTTTCTTCTTTGGGATGTAAGATTCTATATATGTCAGTTAAGTCTCTTTGATTCAGTGTTTCATTCAGTGCCACGATATGTTTATTAATGTTTTGTTTGGAAGATCTGTCCATTTTGGACAGTGGGGTGTTGAAATCCCCTACTATCAGTGTGTTGCTATCTATATCTTTTTTGAAGTCATCCAACAATTTCCTTATAAACTTGGGGGCTCCTATATTGGGAGCATATAAGTTTACAATGTTGATGTCTTCTTGATAGATTCTTCCTTTAAGTATGATAAAGTGCCCCTCTGGGTCTCTCTTTATGGCCTTTGCTTTGAAATCGACTTTGTCTGATACAAGTATGGCAACGCCAGCCTTTTTCTCATGTCCATTTGCTTGGAATATTATTTTCCATCCCTTTACTTTCAATCTGTGTAGGTCTTTTGCTCTGAGGTGGGTCTCTTGTAGGCAGCATATGTGTGGGTCATGTTTTCTTATCCATTCAGCTACCCTGTGTCTTTTGATTGGGGCATTTAATCCATTCACATTGAGAGATATTACTGATAGAAACTTACTCATCTTTTCTCTTTGTACTTGTGTTCCTCTCTGTCTCATTCTTTTCCTTCATCTGCTTAAACCAGTCCCCTTAGCATATCTTGGAATGCTGGTTTGGTAGAGATGTATTCTTTTAGCTTTCTTTTGTCTGGGAAACTCCGTATTTCTCCTTCTATTTTAATGGAGAGCCTAGCTGGGTAGAGCAGCCTTGGCTGTAGGCCCTTGCTTTTCATGGCTTGGAATATTTGTTGCCATTCCCTTCTGTCTTGTAGTGTTTCTGTTGAGAAGTCAGCTCCTAGGCGTATCGGGGCCCCCTTGTATGTTACTTTCTCCTTCTCCCTTGCTGCCTTGAGGATTCTCTCTTTGTCTTTGACATTTGCCATTTTAATGATGATGTGTCTTGGAGTGGACCTCCTTGGGTCCTTCTTGAGTGGGGTCCTCTGTGCCTCCTGGATCCATGAGAGCCTTTCTCTCCTCAAATTAGGGAAATTTTCCATCATTACTTTTTCGAGGAGGTTCTCTATTCCTTGCTCCTCTTCTTCTCCTTCTGGTATCCCTATTATACGGATATTATTGTGTTTCAGGTTGTCCTGCATTTCCCTAAATGCTTCTTCATTCTTTTTGAGCCGTTTTTCCATTTCTTGCTCTTTCTGGGAGCTTTTTTCTACCTTATCCTCCATCTCACTGATTCAATCCTCAGCTTCATCCAGCCTGCTTTGGATTCCTTCTACTGTGTTCTTCAATTCAGAAATGGTATTCTTCATATCCTCTTGTGTCTTCTTGATAGTTTCTATGTCCTTTTCCAGGCTGATATAGTTTTCTGTAAGATCCTGATAGTTTCTCTGCAGTTTCTCATAGTTCTCTTTGAGCTGGCTGAGCTCATTGAGCTTCCTTAGAACCAGTGTTTTAAATTCCATATCTGATAGTTCCCTTGCCTCTATTTCATTGAGCTCTCTCTGTGGGGAGTCCCCTTTTCCACTCATTTGGGGAGAACTTCTTTTTCTTCCCATTTTTGTGAGAGTCTGTTAAGTATTTTTGTCCTTTACTTTTCTTTCTGGGCTTGCCTCTGATGATGTCAGTTGTTGACCCTATAGGGCCTTGGGTTGTTTGTTTGAGCCTTTCAGGAGTCTAATGCCTGTGTCTGACTCCTGCTTGGAACAGCTCTGTGACCCCTTCGGTCAGGGCTGGGCTATTTTTTGGGATCTCTCTGCGCTCTCACGAGAGCTCCTTGAGCGCGTTCCCAGCGCGGCAGGGTCCCCCACCTGCCTGGGCTCGCATGTGTTTGCCCCAGACCAGGGGGCTTATTCGCGACCTCCCGTGCTCATCTGACCTCCCTGGCACGCGAGCTTCGCGGCACTGGTCAGTTTAGAGTCTTCTATTGTGTGTTTTCCCCGCTTTTGGCTCTTTGGGTGCGTTGCTTGCCCTCGCCAAATGGGGACTACGGAAATGGGAGGAAATCAGCTCTCCGGTTAATCCTGTTTCTGGTCTCTCCTCCAGGGACTCTGGGCAGCTCTACTTATTTTGTGGGCTGCTCCGCAATCGCGGCGGGCGGGTCAATTTACGCCTGCCCTTGCCCCTCTGTGCAATCCCTCGCAGGCCGTATGGGTGCCAGTCTGTGTGAGGCCTTGCCGGCAGGTGCAAGCGTTTGCCAGCCCGCGTGGGTCACACACACGCTCGCCAACCCTCGCCAGTCACTCGGCGCAAGTGTGCGCGCCTGCTCTGGGTGTTTTGGGGGTGTCTATGTTTGCTTTTCGGCTTTTGGCTCTTTAGGGGTGTGGCCTCTTCCCGCGCAATGGAGACTTCGGCAAGGAGAAGGAGTCAGGACTCCGAGAGGAGTTTCAATGGGTTGGTCTTTGGGTGCAGGAGGGAGTGGACTCCCCGGTCCCTCCTCCCGTTCTTTCCCCAACGCCACTGTCTCCAGTCTCTCCTCAAGGCTCTCCCAGACAGTCTGCACTCCGCCCCGCAGGTCACAAGCGCACAAGCTGTGTGCGGAGCGCACAAAAGGCAGGTTAATTGATTCCCTTATGCCTGAGCGAGATGGTAGCTGCAGAGTGGGAAGTGCGTTATCACCCGGGCTCCACCGGCCGCAGAGTCAGTTCTCTTCACAAAGTTTTCCTCACCAGTCTTTTCCCAGGCACCAGCCCACCCTGCTGCCGCCTGTACCCAGCGATCAAGGAGGGTGGCTGCCGCTGCAACTTTTGCGTTTGCCCTTTAAATGTCTTTTTGCATCCCCAGCCACTTGTCTCTGGCAGAGAGTGCCCCTAAGCTTTTTGGGGTTGTGTTTTGTCTGTATTTTCTCGGCTTTAGTGGCTGTAGTTTAGGGGTTCCTGTTTATGATTCAGACCCCGTTCTTCCCGGGGGGACGCTAACTGGCCGTTTCAATGTCCCTCTGGTGCCAGTGCCCGTGCGCACCCAGCCCACCCTCTCGAGCCTCCACCGCAATTCTCACCCGTTGGGATGTGTGAGAGTCGAATCCGCTGTCCGCGGCACCAAGGCTCCTCTCCCACTATTGCTCCACTGCTTTCCAGGTGATTACTCCATTATTTAGTTGCAATTCCAGTTTGGTTTTTGGAGGAGGTCAGCGTGACTCCTTTTCACTCCTCCGCCATCTTTGTCCTCCTAATTTTTTAATTTTTTTACAAGGAGAACACTTGTAATTGTGCTTTATTAGCACAAAAAGCAGCCATAACAAGGCACAGCAAGCAGAAACACACATTAGCAGTCAAAGGGTTAGTCTTGCACACAAATATAACTTTTCTTTTTTGTAGCCTTGGCAATAGCCATCAGGATGTAAAATAACTTTCTGTAGCAGCAGGTAAGGAAACTAAGGAGCACTCACCAGTGGTACAGAGCACATTAACAAAAAGACACAAGAATGGATTCGACTACTTTAGTGCAAAATGTCTAGGATAGAACTATAAATTCAGTTCAATACTAAGAAGCAAACACTAGAACTTGGTATTACTTCCAAAATAGCTCACTCAAGTAGTATTGCATACTATTCTAAATGACAAAAAGTTGCTAAGTAAAGTTATTTACTTTGTACAGTATCTTTTAAATCTGCAATTTAGGTTTCAGATTTTCCATTAAAAATTAACTGCACTGAAATTCTATAAATTGTACTTAAGCAATTCAGCTATGAGCATTTACAACAAAGCAATAAATACTGCCATCCAAATTATTACAGTTTAACAATAATATGAACATCAGCAACCACTGTAGTTTTTATTTCTGACTTGTTTGGGCATCTTCTAGTCTCATTTTCTTCATGGTTCACATAGTCGTTGTGGGCATAGGAAAAGATCCAACATTAACAAATCAACAAGTAGACTGCACATGTCAACTTTAAAAGTCACACATAGGACTACATTGCAGCAGCTATTCCCAATGTGTTTTAAGTTAAAGCACTCATTAAAAAAATTAATGCCTAAGGCTTTAAATAAAATTCTCCTACCAACTTCAGAAGTCTGAAATTTTAAGAGCTACTATTTAGAAAAACTGGTTTACTTAACAGTACCTTTTGCAGAAGAGAAAAGGAGACTGACTATGAACTAGATCAACACTTAAGTGAACTGCATTATGCCCTTGTGGCCAGAAAATTGCATTTATTTTTTTCTAAAAGGAAGACAGTCTTCATTTTTTGGACTTGCAAAGCTTGATTTATAGTAACTACAAACATCACTACTTTTGGAAGGTTACAGAAAAATTCTTAGGAAAAATAATTTCAAACATTAGTCACACCATTGAAATACTCATCCAATGTTAACAATTTGTTCTTCAGTAAGAAATAGAATTCTTCATAGCAAATGCCCCAGAATTGCCTCACTCAATTACTTCAGCCCCTAAAAACCAAACAGCTATTTGACAAAATGTTTTTGTAGCCTTACTGAACAACTGTAGTCCTATCCTTTGTTGTATCAATAGGCACCATATTTTTATGAGCAAGTAACATCAGAGAGCATCTGACAGACACTAACACTAAGCTTACATACCGTACTGAAAAAAAACCTAACACTGATACATGTGCTTGCTATCGGTGTACTGTCTGATGCACATAAAAGCAGATCTAGGACAGCAGAATTTACTTTGCCTTGACTGGTTCTCGTTCTAACCAGCGAACTCTAACTTTTTGTTTATAATGATACTCTTTTTAAAAATCCTGTAACATTGATGGTAAAGGAAGGCCATCAATTCCATCATATGTAGTGCATCTGCAGATTACTGCACTAAGATATATTGCAAACTAACAGGAAAAGTCCTATTTAGTGAGATAGTAAGCAATGGTTCAAAAAACATGCAAGAACTGGGATCTTTATAATGTTCCAAAAGTCCTGTTACAGTGGAGGAGTGAAATACACATGGGTCATGAGCATCAAAACTAAAGTTGTGATTCCACTGTTCAATTTGGGCATGCAGGGATCTGTTGTAGCAACGGAAGCTCACAGAGAAGAGGTAGTCCTCTTGCGCAGAGTTCCTGAGCAAAAATGTGCCTTCAGGTTTCCCTTCAAGAAGGGCTTCTGCTTCATAATGGTCCATCACTCTCCAGTAACAGGGATTACCTGTAATCTGAAGCAAATCGGGCACGAGGCAGTGTATGTAATCAATCTGTGTGTGGACTTTCCAAGCTCCCTGTCTGCTAACATGGGCATGGCTGTCTCCAGAGACCTGACGTTGCTTCTGCCTACGTGACTGCAAACACAATGTGGTTGTGTCCTCTTCTGAGTTACAATTAGCTTGTGGAATTGAAGAATTGTCCCCACTTATTTCAGTCATTCCAGGAGCTAACTTTGGTCCCAGTTTATATAACAGATTAACCTGTGCAGTGGCTTCAAATGTATGTATTTGTGCATCGAGAGGGGGGTCAACCCCTTCTTCAATACTAAGACGCCTTCTCTCTCTAAGTTTATCTTCTTCATCTTCTGTAGAAACCAAGGATGGATCAAACGTATCAAAAAATGTTGAATGTGGGCTCACAGGGGCTGTATGCTGTTTAATCAAATGCCACTTTTGGGCTAAATCTGTGCCAGCAGGAAAAGGGCATTTCTCAAGCATTAGTTCAGACAGGTGTATTTTTCTTTTATTAGAAAGAAGAGGCTTTGACTGCTTGCTGTAAGTTCTCATTGGAAAACACAGGCCCACAGTATCCTGCAACCTTTGTCTCAGAGAGCGACTTCCTACAGTTCTGCTGGAAACGCTGTCCATATCATGCACAGAGCTTACGCCGTATCTCCTCTCTCTCCTTTGAAGTCCACTTTGAGTTCTACCAAACTTTTTATCAGTATCTAATGAACTTTGAGTCTTTGTAGAGCAGAAATGTTTCTTCTTCCCACCCCATGGAACATGTCGAGAGTAGGAATCTCTTCTTGCCAGTCTCGTTCCTGGGGTGACACACGAATCATTACCCTTTTCAATGCTTATTTCAGCAATCTGAGGAATTTCAGTGGCATAATTTGGGTTTCTTCTTGAAGAATTCTTTGAAGGGCTTAATCCCAGCTGTAAGGCAACATTTTCTCTTAAGGGACTGCTTTGTTGCTGAGGAGCTGAGTCTCCTACACTGACGTTTCTCTCTTTGATAGATGAACATCTGTTGGAGTTCATGTCCACATTTTCAGTACGGCTTCCTCCCTCATGATTGAAGAGATTCTGACCTGTATTTGAAATTATTCCACATTTTCCCCACTTTATCCATTGATTTTAAGATCGATCGGGGCGCGCTGGGCAGCCTCATCCAGGGGCACCTACGGCCAGGCAGGATGGGCCCAGATGGTGCAGTCACCAAGAGGGTGAGTCTGCCCGCCCACTGGTCCCGTCCCTTCCGACTCCCGGAGCAAGCGCAGTCTCCCTTCCTCCGGGCGGATGTCGGATACCCCGACTCCGCCGGATGCCCCCGCCTGGCCCCACCCCCTTCCCCGGCCACCTCCCCCTCTACACCTTTTTCCCCTCCCCCCTCCCCCCAACCCCCACCGGAATGGAAAATCTATTTAGTGACATTTTATTGTTAAACTATTTTCCTCTTTTTTTCCTTCTTAAACATGCTGTTTAACATTTGTTGCAGTACTGGTTTGGTGTTAACAAACTCTTCTAGCTTTTTCTTGTCTGGGAGGCTCCTTATTTCTCCTTAGATTTTAAACAGCAGTCTTTCCTTGGCTGGTGTGGCTCAGTGGATTGAGTGTCAGCCAGCAAGCCAAAAGGTTGCCAGTTCGACTCCCAGTCAGGGCACATGCCTGGGTTGCAGGTCTGATCCCTGCTTGGTGGTGTGTGAGAAGCAACATTGATATATCTCACACGCCGGTATTTCTCTCCCTCTCTTTCTCCCTCCCTTCCCCTGGCTCTAAAAATGAATAAGTAAAAAATTGCCAAAACAAAAACAAAACAAAAAACCCTGATAGCCTTGTGGATAAAGTAGCCTTGGTTGTAGGTCTTTGCTTTTCATTACCTTGAATATTTCACGCCAATCCCTTCTGGCCTGAAAAGTTTCTGTTGAGAAATCAGATGACAGTATAATTGGTGCTCCCTTGTATGTAACTACCTGCTTTTCTGTTGCAACTTTTAGGATTCCCTCCTTATCTTTAAGCCTTGTCATTTTAATTATGATGTGTCTCTGTGTAGGCCTCTTTGGGTCCAACTTGTTTGGAACTTTCTGAGCTTCCTGGACTTGTGTGTCTTTTTCCTTCACCATATTAAGGAAATTTTCAATCGTTATTTCTTGAAATAGATTCTTGATTACTTGCTTCCTCTGTTCTCCTTCTAACATTCCCATAATGCAGATGTTACACTTCATGTTGTCCAAAATGTTTCTTAAGCTCTTCTCATTTTATTTTAATTTTTTAATTTTTTTTATTGTTCAAGTACAGTTGTCTCCATTTTCCAGCCATCATTTTTCCCTGCCCCACCCACCCCCACCTTCCATCCTCAATCCTTCCCCACTTTGGCTTTGTCCATGGATCCTTTATACATATTCCTTGACGTGACCCTTCCCTTTCTTTTCCCTGTTACCCCATTCCCTCCTCCCCTCTCATTACTGTTGCTTTGTTTTTTTCTTTCAGTGTTGCCAGTTATATTTTTCTTGCTTGATTGTTTTGTTGATTAGGTTCCACTTATAGGTGATATCATATGGTATTTGTCTTTCACCGCCTGGCTTAATTCACTTAGCATAATGCTCTCCAGTTCCATCTATGTTGTCAAGAAGGGAAGGAGTTCCTTCTTTCTTTCTGTTGTGCAGTATTCCATTTTGAACTGTACCATAGTCTTTTGATCCACTCATTTACTGATGGACACTTAGGTTGCTTCCAATACTTGGCTATTGTAAATTGTGTAGCTATGAACACTGGGGTGCATAGGTTCTTTTGAATTGGTGTTTCAGGATTCTCAGGGTATAATCCCAGCATGGAATTGCTGGGTCAAAAGGCAGTTCCATTTTTAGCTTTTTGAGGAAATTCCAAACTGTTTTCCACAGTGGCTGCACCAGTCTGTATTCCCACCAACAGTGTACTAGGGTTCCCTTTTCTCCACAGCCTTGCCAGCACTTGTTGTTTGTTGATTTATGATGGCCATTCTAACTGATGTGAAGTGGTATCTTATTGTGGTTTTAATTTGCATTTCTCTGATGGCTAATGATGATGGGCATCCTTTCATATGTCTATGGTCCCTTTGTATGTCCTCCTTGGAGAAGTGTCTGTTCAGGTCTTTTGCCCATTTTATAATTGGATTGTTTGTCTTCCTGGAGTGGAGTCGTGTGAGTTCTTTATATATTTTGGAGATCAAACCCTTGTCTGAGGTATCATTGGCAAATATATTTTCCCAGATGGTTGGTTCCCTTTTCATTTTCCTGCTGTTTTCTTTAGCCATGTGGAACTCTCGAGTATCCTTATTCCCCATGCTGTCTAGTATCCTTATTCCCCACCTTAGTGGGAAAGCTGTTAGTTTTCACCCATTGAGTATGATGTTGGCTGTAGGTTTTTCTTATATGACCTTATGATGTTGAGGTATGCCCCCTTTATTCCTACTGTGCTGAGTGTTTTTATCAAATATTGGTGCTGTACTTTATTTTGATGAAGTCCCATTTGTTTATTCTTTCTCTTATGTCCCTTGCTCTAAGGGACATATAAGTGAAAATATTGCTGCGTGAGAGATCTGAAATTTTTCTGCCTATGTTCCCCTCTAGGACTTGTATGGTGTTGCGACTTATATTTAAGTCTTATCCATCTTGAGTTTATTTTTGTGTATGGTGTAAGTTGGTAGTCGAGTTACTTTTTTTTTGCGTATAGCTGTTCAGATCTCTTTAAATATTTGTTGAAGTGGTTATTTTTCACTCCAATTTATGCTCCTGTTCCCTTTGTTGAATATTAATTGACCATATAAACATGGGTTTATCTCTGGGCTCCCTATTCTGTTCCATTGAGCTATGTGTCTATTCTTATGCCAGTGCCAGAATGTTTTGATTACAGTGGTCTTGTAATGTATTTTGGTGTCAGGTATTGTGATTCCTCCTATTTTGTTCTTTCTCAAAATTTCTGCAGCCATTTGGGGTCATTGATGGCTCCATATAAAGTTTTTAAATGTTTGTTCTATGTCTGTGAAATACGTCATTGGTAGTTTAATAGGGATTGCGTTGAATCTATAAATTGCTTTGGGTAGTATGGACATTTTGATGATGTTAATTATCCCAACCCATGAACTTGGTATGTGTTTCCATTTATTTGTGTCTCCCTTAATTTCTTTCTTCAGTGTTGTGTAGTTTTCTGAGTGCAGGTCTTTTACCTCCTTAGTTAGGTTTATTTGTAGGTACTGTAATTTCTTGTTGCTATAGCAAATGGGATTTGTTCCTGATTTCTGATATTTCATTGTTGGTATACAAAGATGTCTTCAATTTCTGAATATTCACTTTGTATCCCACTATTTTGCCAAATTCACTTATTAGGTCAAGTATTTTTTTTGTGGAGTCTGTAGGGTTTTCTATGTACACTGCCATGTCACCTGCAAACAATGACAGTTTTACTTCCTCCTTTCCAATTTGGATACCTTTTATTTCTTTTTCTTGTCTGATCACTGTGGCTAGGGCTTCCATTACTATGTTCAATAGAAGTGGTGAAAGTGGATATCCTTGTCTTATTCCCCATCTTAGTGGGAAAGCTGTTAGTTTTCACCCATTGAGTATGTTGTTGGCTGTAGGTTTTTCTTATATGGCCTTATGATGTTGAGGTATGCCCCCTTTATTCCTACTGTGCTGAGTGTTTTTATCAAAAATGGGTGCTGTACCTTATCAAATGCCTTTCATGCATCTATTGATATGGTCATGTGGTTTTTGTCTTTCCTTTTGTTTATGTGATGTATTATATTTATTGATTTGTTAATATTGAACCATCCTGCAACCCTGGGATGAATCCCACTTGATCATGGTGTATGATCTTTTTAATGTATTGCTGACTGCAGTTTGTCAATATTTTCTTGAGGGTTTTAGAGTCTATGTTCATCATTGATATTCGCCTGTAGTTTTCTTTCTTTGTTGTGTCTTTATCTGGTTTTGGGATTAGGACGATGCTGGCCTCACAAAAAGAGTTTGGGAGTCATCCCTCTTCTTGGATTTTTTGGAATAGTCTGAGAAGGACAGGGGTTAGCACTTCCTGAAATGTTTTGTAAAATTCTCCTGTTAAACCATCCAGTCCAGGGCTTTTGTGTGCCAGGGGTTTTTTGATGACTGCTTCAATTCCACCAGCTGATATCGGTCTGTTCAGGCTTTCTGCTTCTTCATTCAGTGTTGGGAGGTTATATTTTTCTAGAAATTTGTCCATTTCACCCAGGTTTTCAAATTTCTTGGCATATAATTGTTCATAGTAATTTCTTACAATCCTTTGTATTTCTGTGGTATCAGTTGTCATTTCTCCTCTTTCATTTCTGATATTATTTATTTGGGTCCTCTCCCTTTTTTTCTTAATGAGCCTGCTTAAAGGCTTGTTGATTTTGTTTATCTTTTCAAAGAACCAGCTCCTGGATTTATTGATCCTTTGAATTTTTCTTTTAGTCTCTATGTCATTCAATTCTGCTCTGATCTTGATTATTTCCTTTCTTCTACTCGCTCTGGACTTTGTTTGTTGTTGTTTCTCCAGTTCTTGAAGCTGTATGGTCAGGTAGTTTATTTGAAATGTTTCTATATTTTTTAGGTAGGCTGGTATTGCTATGAACTTCCCTCTCAGGACTGCCTTTGCTGTGTCCCATAGGTTTTGAACTGTTGTGTGTCTATTTTCATTTGTTTCCAGAAACTTTTTGATTTCTTCTCTTATCTCATTATTGACCCATTCATTGTTTAATAGAGAGCTATTCAGTCTCCATGAGTTTGAATGTTTGAGTCTTTTCTTTGAGGTTGGTTTGTAGTTTCAAGCCCTTGTGGTCTGAGAAAATGCTTGTTATGATTTCAATTTTCTTGAATTTGTTGAGTCCTCATTTTTTTTAATTCTTTTTTCTTTTTGCTGCTCTGCCTGGGTGTTTTTTCTACCTTGTCTTCCAAATCACAGTTTTAATCCTGTGCGTCATCTAACCTACTGTTTATTCCTTCCAGTGTATTATTCATTTCAGATATTGCATTCTTTATCTCTGGTCCTTTCTTATGGTTTCTATGTCTTTTTTCATGCTGTCGAGTATCCTTATAATCATTACTCTAAACTCTCATCTCATAAACTGCCTCCATTTCATCTAGTTCTTCTTCTGGAGAATTCTTTTGTTCTTTCATTTGAGGCCTGTTTCTTTGTCTTCCCATTTTGGCTGCTTCTTTATATTTTATGCCTTAGTTGTTAAACTGATCAGTGATACAGCCTCAGGCTATAATCAGCAACCTGGCCTAAGCACCACAGTGTGGGGCAGAGTAATTCCTGTGGGTATGGCTATTGCTTCCTCTCAGGCTGATGCCACTTGGAGAGGAGTGCTCTGCCTGAGACTGATGGCTCCTGTAGTATAATGAATGACTCAGCACAGGGATCCTAGTGGCTGTTCCTTCAGTTTTCTCCCCAGAACCACCAACCCAGACACTCCTCAATAATCTCTAGTCCACTCTCCCCTCCCTCTGCTGGGTCCCAGGATAAGTGGCTGCAAATGAAATTTTGTGCATTAGCCCTTTAGAAGGCTCTCTACATCTCCAACTGTTTCTCACTGGCAGACAGAAACCCTGCTTCTTTTCACAGCTGGATGTTTTCTGGGTTCCTTCTGGTTCTGGTGCTATAGGCTAGGGAGTCCTGCTTGGGGTTCAAACCCCACACTTCTCAGGGGGAACCCCGCAGCTGCTGAAATATCCCTCCAGATCTTCAGATGGTGCCTGTGGGAGCCCAGTTATTCCTCTTGAGGCTACTCCACACTGCCTACCAGTCTTGTTGTGGTGAAGTGGTTTCTTCTATCTGTCCTTGGTTATAAGTATTCTCTCCAGTTAGTGTTCAGTTGGTTATTCCAGATGATTTCTCTACAATGTAGTTGTAATTCTAGATTGTTCTGGGGAGAAGGTTAGTGTAGCCTTCTCTGCCATCTTAAATCCCTCTTAAATAATTTTCAACATCTTTTATTTTTCCACTTTTTATTTTTTCTGATTGCAGTACAGCTGAATCTGGGATCATTATCAATTGTCCCTGGTGGATCAACCACCATCCTTTTTATGGGCAAAATCTTCTACTGATATTTGCAGAGTCCACAGTGAACCTCCTATTAAAATTCAAATATATCCTTGAAAACCTCTTCTGAAAATTAATCAATACTCCTTAAATAAAGAAGCTCTTCAAGGTATAAAGCCCATAATAGAAGATTACATAACTTATGACCTCTAGTTCCTGTAACACTCCCATCTTACCTGTGAGAAAGCCTAAGGCACCAAAATAAATGTTTGTTCAGGACTTCAGAGCAATAGATAACATTATTATTCCTTGACACCTTGTTGTTTCTAACCCTCATATGATGTTAGTATCTATCTCAACTGGAAGTAAGTTCTTTACTGTAATTGAATTACACAGTCCATTCTTCTGCATTCCAGTGGATGAAGCTAGCCAATATCTTTGTGCCTTCACTTGAAAAGGGAAAAGATTTACCTGAAGTGTAATGCCTTAGGGTTTTACTGAATGCCCTTCTTATTTCCTATAAGTCCTGAGGACTGATTTGGATGATATAACTTTCCTTAAAGGTTCTACTTTGTTGCAATATGTAGATGATTTACTGCTTTGTTTTTCTTCTCAGGTCTCCTCTCAGGGAGACATAATCTACTTGTTAGAATGTTTGGCATTAAAGGGACATAAGGCCTCTTGAAAAATAAGTTTGTCCAAACTCAGGTTCTATGTTTGAAAGATCTGATATGGGAACCAGAATTACACTTAGATCCAGATAGGCTTCCTAACTGGTGTCCTAACATTCCTAAAGCCCCAAACTAAGCATCAATTGTGAGAAATTCTTGGGCTGGTTGGCTATTGCTGAAATCATATCCCAAATCTCTCTCTCTCATGGCAAAACCTCTGAATATTTTACCAAAGAATGACAGTCCTGACCCAAAGTTTGGGAAGAATGTCATGCCATAGCCTTTAAAGCCTTAAAAGAGAGTTTAATAAACTCACCTGCTCTTAGACATCCCAATGATCAGGTTCCCTTTTTCTTTTTCTTTTTTTGTGTATAGAAAGGAAGGGAATGCCCCATCACTGGACTGAAGATTTCCATTGTAGACAAGCCTCTTCTGTGGTTAAAGTCCCTACCTGGGGAACTCTGCTTAAAGTCCATAGTGATCCAGGGACCCATGTTACTGGTCAAATGCTTCAATAAGTCTGTGCTGTTTGGCCGGTTTTACATTTTCACTGCATTTATCACCCTCAATCCTTGGCTTTACTCAAATGTACTAATGGCGTTGTTAAGATTCAATTGGCAAAATTTGTAGAAACCCTCCAAATACCTTGGCCAAATGTATTGCCATTTGTTCTTTTAAAACTCAAAGCCACTGCCTTTGGAGCTCATACACTCTCACCTTTTGAGATAATTACAGGATTCCCAGTGTGTCTGGCTCCTGCTCCTTTCAATCCACAGTTGAAAAAGGGAGACATACCTCAATATTGTTAATGCCTAATTGATTCTATTGAAAATGACCATGCTTTTGTAGAGCAATTTTTTGACAGTGCCCTCCAAGGAAATGAAAACCCCAAACACCACACTTTGTAACCTGGAGATTTTGTTTACTGGAAAAGATACCTCTAAAATACTCCATCCAGCTTTGCTGGAAGGGCCTTTCTCAGGTGCTATTGACTAACCCTGTGCTGCTAAACTCCAGGGAGTAGGAATTCATGCTAAATCCCTGTCACATCTAAAGAAGGCACCAAACCCTGACTGGAACTACACATAATCTGGTGACCTGAAACTAAGAAACTAAAACTCTCAAAAATTAAAGTAAGTGATCTCTAAAGAGACAACTTTCCCAAAATTAATAGACCAGGCATATACAACTACCAGGAGTCATGGGACATCAGGATCTTATCAAGAGGGTCCTTTCCAGGGACATGGGACATGAGACATGGGACTAATGGGAATGTGGACTTGGTTGGGTAAGAACTTTTTTTCCAAGTAGAAGACTGTGCCATTTCTGACCATAACCTGTCCCTTAGACACTCACTTTTCTAGCATAAGCTCTGAATTTTGCCAAGAAGCCTCCATGGGAGGCACCCCTGGAGCCTCCCCTTGCATATGATCAGTTCAATGTTTCCCAAATGGCACAGTAGTCTTGGACTCAAGTCTCAGCTGCCAGAGCATCAGGAAAGGAGGCTGCACCATGGTGGACTTCCTAGCACCAAACAAGTAAAGTCCAGTGACTAACTCCCCCACCCCAGGTGCGCGTGCATGCGCGCACATGCGTGCGCGCACACACATACAGAGCATCCCAGGGTACTGTGCCTGCTCTAAGTTTTTTACTCCTGGCAATTTCAAGGTACCTGTTCATCTGAATTCTCTTATACATACTATTCTTTATTAGTATCTTTAGAGTCTTCCCAAAGACAATAGTGTGATTAATCTGTCATTTGTTTGGAGTATGTCATTTCTTTATTTGTCTTGTTAAGAAATATCCTGATTGTTATTGGCTTGTGAAATTCCCACAGTGCACTTGTGCTAAATAAATTGCTGGGATTCTAGAAGAGTTTTTAGGTTAGCAAAGAGTCACTGCCCAAACAAGAACTCTCTAATAGTCCTCACAAATTGTTAATATTTATAGTCTAAATGTTCCCTAGCTGCTCCACATGTTCTTACTGATGAGCCCCAGCAGGGCCCCTCAGCTGCTGGGGCTGCTAACTACTTCTCAACAACAGGTATAAAATGATGACATCCTGGCATAATTTCATGCTATAGGAAAGCAACTTTTTTTCTTGTCATTAACAAGCGGATTAAAACTACTTAAGTCATAAATGAGTTAGAAATCATATTAAACTTATACACAATATGGACAATTTTTGACCAAATGGCTCAACAGTAGGTGAACACTGATAATTTGGAGGCACTGCCAACCAGATATACTCTAGTTCTCAGAAAGATAACTTATCCAGAGGACAATGTTAAACATTACAAGAGATGTAAGATGAAAGAAGGACCCTGTTCTCGAGGGAATCATAATGTAGTATAAACAGCACAGGATATGACAAGAGACCTAAACTCCTGTCTAAAATATGTCGCTGGTAATCAACGTAACTCTCAGGAAGTCATGTCCTACATCTCATATACATTCTTTATATGCCAAAGAGGACTATATATGGATCCTATATTTCGAGAGTAAAACCTGCCTAACAAGGATGTGCCAACGAATCAGGAAACGGTTTTAAAAACATAAGGTCCCTGATACAGCCAGGGACCTGACGGGGACAAAACTGCCTCTACTCCAGGAGGCTCCAGACAAGCCTAGTGAGGCGAGGTTCTCTGTAGAAAGGGCCACCGGCTGCCGGAAATCAACGCAGGAATAATCTGAACGCGAAACACTTCGCTCAAGTCGGGGCTAGGAGATCGAGATCGTGGCACCCATTGCCGGTAGGTTACATTACTCCCAGGCGAAGAGTGGCTTTCAGGGTTCCTCTGAGACTCCAGCGGGCTTAGAGACTCGATGATATTAACTCTTTTTTGCATCAGGGGCTGAACTGAAGTAGAAGGCCAGTTCCTCCGGGATGGAAAGGACCCGCGGGTCAGTTTCCGGCTGGTTTGGCTGAAACTGCACTGGTGGAGGAAGGAAGATAGATGGCTGGGCGTGGCTGTCCCTAAGCCACCGGAAACACATCTTCCTTTTCCGGTTGGGGCCCAGTCTACAGTCCGCGACCCCAAAATGGCGAGCCGGGGTACAGTCTCCGGGAGATAGAGGGATCGGGTGGCAGACTGATCTTCCAAGGTCCCTGCGCTCCCGAGACTTGCCGCTTCTCTCGACTGTCATCGTTTGCTCCCGACACCGCCTCCGCTGTGGCGCAAGCACCTAGAGCTTCCTCCCTAGAATAGCCTGGAGGCGTGGCTACTCAGAGTCTACCGAGGAAGAGGGAAGTGGCGTCCACGGAGGCCAGAGCTGCGTGAAGGTAATCGAGAATCCCGATTTTCCCTTTGTATTTGGTCTGGCGAGCCCGAGAGTTGCCTGCCGTACGTGCTGGTTGCAGTCTGCGAGGCGGTGGGAGCGTGGGGGTACGAAGGACGCAGCCTTCCCCAGTTCGTGGTGGCATCATTGCCAGGCGGCTGCAGTCAGCCTGAGAGCAGGCGGGACCTTTTCTCATCAAGGCCGGTATTAAGGCTCCTATTTCCACCTCTAACCTCCGGAAGAAATTTCTTTGTACTCTATGTGCAAATATCACTCAGGGATGCTGCTGAAGCACACTCGGAGGCGGCCGGCGTGCACAGGGCTTATGGACACCCTTGTGGTCGATCCAGAAGGTGTAGCAAATGTGTGGTTGGGGATGGGGCAGTGCTGTCTTCCACCGCACCCAGCGAAACTTTCTGCATCCAGCGAAATTTTCCAGTTTCCGCTCTTATGATCATATCGCTGGAGAGAGGGTCATTACAGCTTCTGCGGATATAAAATTACAGGCGGTGTCCCTGTACCTCCTGAGACTGGATAAGCACCAAAGAGCCAACCATTTCTTTGAATACCAGTGGCATCCTCAAAAAAAAAAAATTGTTGCTCTTTTTGCTGGATCACCTGAGGGAAAATCAGACTTTCAAGGCTATCCTCAGCCTTGCTTTAAATATCTGTTATGACCCTGAGGAAAGCCAGGGAAAGGGGTACCTTTAGTAAACCCTTGCTGTCTCAAGAATTTTAGCCATCACTGTTTCTTTCCTTTTTTACAATCTGCCATTTGGATATCTTATAAACAAATGTAAGTTTTTCCAGTAAAGTAAGCAAGAAATTTAATACAAAGGTATGAATTTGTACAGTGCCCTTTATAAGTCTTCTCTAAAAGTACCAACAACAAAAATTGTGGACATCTGATTGCTTTCTCAAGGGATATTTTCTGTGAGGAATAAGGTTACTTTTTCCCTGATTACTTCTTTTCTGATCTTCCTGTCTCAGTTCTCCTGCCAGAGTTAATGCAATGGAAAGGAGACTATCAAATGTTCCATGAAGTAAAGGTTTCAGTCTTCATAAGAGAATGAAGGGGCTTAGAAGTTATTTTCCACCTGACTAAAGACAAAAGATTGGAATGATATGTTAAAATTCAGAGAATCTTAAATATTCCCTGTTTGTGAAGATGGGGCAGGAAGCACACAAGTTAAGTATTGGATAGTCTCAAAGCTCCTTTTAGCAAATGGGTGTCAGCTTTTTTTCACCTACCAATTTTTCCTCATTCGTTTAGCAAAAAGTTATCAGTTGACATCTGTATTCGCTGAGCTGTTCTTTGTTTCAAAGTTGAGTAACAGAAGAGGAGAGAAACATATGTTCTGAAGTAATCTATCATCATGAGTGTCCTAATACTTGTCAGTTGATATTAAGGAGGAAACGGAACAGGAACTTTTCTGTTCATTCTTCTCTGATAATTATAAATAGCAAGTAAATATGTATCATGTGCCTTTCATCTCGACATGTACTTTTTCTTTCTTTCCCTCAGTGCCCTTGGGCAGAAGATCCATTGAAGGCCTCAATTATCAAAGGTGGCACCAGGAAAATGTCACACATAGGAGAAAAACTGTTCCTAGAGCAAATTATGATGAGACATCTGAAGGTGAACAAATGCTTATACCCACACTTGGAGGTTTTGTGGGAGACTAAGGGGTCTGTTAAAGAGAGCTCCAGTCAGAGTAAGAAATCCAGCCCACAGGTGGACAGTCTTGGTCCTGAGAGCGCTCACCAGCACTTCCGGAGCTTTTGTTACCATGAAGCAGCTGGACCGCTTGAGGCTGTCAGCCAACTTCAGGAATTATGCCATCAGTGGCTAAGGCCAGAGATCCACTCAAAAGAGCAGATCTTGGAACTGCTGGTGCTAGAGCAGTTCCTGACCATTTTGCCCAAGGATACTCAGAACTGGGTGCAGAAGTATCATCCACAGAGCATCAGAGAGGCTGTGGCCCTAGTGGAACATTTTCAGAGAGAACCTGGTGGAATAAGTAATGAGGTAAGAAAAAATTATTCCTTACACATACAATTAAATAGGATAAAGGTGGATATGTTGGGAAGCGGTTAATTAAGGAATAAGATGAGTTAGGTCACTCTTCGGTTGTTTCTTTAGGGAAATTAGGTAGGATCTGAAATCACAGATATGCAGCAGTAGTCTACATAGGTTTCAGAACTCCTGGAAGTCTTTCCTGGTATTAGAAAAAGACAATGCATTTTGCCCATTTTAGGGCCAGTGCACATTGAAGGTGGTGGGCCTCGTCTGGCATGGCCAAGGAGACAGGACTTGGTTTCTTAGAAACAGGAATAAAAGGCAAGAAAGATTTGAGAAAGGGGAGAAAAATCTGGGAAAAAGACAGCACTTAGAGATCAAAGGAGAGAGAGGGTAGCAAATAGAAATATACATCAGACAACTCTGGGGAGACTGCAGAGGTGAAGAAGAAATAGAAAATACAGGAAACAAAGATACGGAAAGAAGAAAAATGCCAACAGAAGTGAAGAGAATGAAGATGCCGAGGGGTAGAGCCCTCAGAAGTGGGAATATATGTCTCTGGGCTAGGAAAAAGCCTCCATTGCCCTCCCTTAATGGTCTTGTCCTTGGCTTTGCTGGTTAGTGCGGAACTGAGGTATGCCCTGGGGAGATGGCAGCACACTTCCTTTCCTCTGGAGCCCACCAGACATATTTTTGTGCCCTGCTACAACTGAACCATGTGGAGGGAGGTTAGAGTTCAACTTTCCCCCCTTTTTCCCCCATTGCATCCCCTTTCTCTATGAAATCCTTCCCCAGTCATGAGGGGATTAGAACATATGACAAAGAGGAAAACCTTTTTTATTCAATGCCTTATATTTTAGAGAAAACTAAAAGATAAAAATCCACTCAGGCAAGGGTCTTAAGTCAAGGAAGCAAGCCAGTGAAGCATAGCAGGCAGCCTGTCCCCATTCTGCTAGTGGCCTGACCTGTGGCTGTATGTCACAGCTTTTTCATTTTATCCTCATTTCTCCAGGTGACACATATAATTCTTTGTGAGAAAAGGGTGGTACAATACCTTTTCAGTTTTTTATTCCTTTCTTTAATGTCACACACTCCCCAAATCTGAACTCTATTCTTGGACTCTATTCTTGTTTATCCCTCTACCACCACCCTTAAATCACACGTAAATTCTGTGCTAATGAGGATGGGGGTTATTTCTAGGTCACAGCCCATGACCTGGGAAAGGAGGCAGTACTCTTGGGAGGAACACCAGTAATCCCAGGCTTTAAGTGGAAGCCAGCAGAGCCCCAAGCAATGGGTATGTTCCAGAAAGAATGTTGGAATACATACCGGGTACTACAAGAACAGCCGGGCTGGAAAACTCACAAAGAAACCCAGTGTGTATATGAAAGAGGTGAGGAGCTTCATAATCTATTCTGGGGGCTGTAATAGTAACTGGTTCAGCTAGAATATCATGGGAATTTTCCAGGTGCCCAGCCATGTTAGCAGTTAGAATGTCTCTCATGTGGGAGTATAAAAGTCAATGTGGGTGAAGGTGAGGGTCAGTCTGGGGTACAGAAATATCCAAACCACAGAACTCTGGCATATATATCATGGACCTTGCTCCTTAGAAATTTGAGAGAATATGGAACAGGGACAGGAGTAAAAGTTGGATCAGAAATGGGCTGTCAGTGGAAAATAGGAAGAGAATTTTGCACCAGGAAAAAAAAACCCAGAAATGTTCCACATGTCCTGCCATATATTGGAGGACTTGAGTCTTTCATTTTCAAACACCTTTAATTCTTGCCCAGGAAAAATAGTGGATTTTCTGTTATTAATTTCTTATGAAATCTGGGGCAACAGTCAATTGGGGAACTGGTTCTATGGAGTGGTGGCTATTTGGTTCTTATTTACCATGAACAGGCCACTTGGGGCATTATAGACACACACAGTTGTGAAGGTGAACCATCTTTATTTAAGGAGTCCTGATGTTTTATATTTTAGAAATCAGCTCAGAGTATTCATAAACAGAAAAGAGAAATTTTCTGGCTCTTTTCCACCCACAGCTGTGCCTACTCAACAGATTCTAGGCTTTTCTGAGCAGAAAAGCACCCCAAACTGGAAGATGGCATCTGAGCTCATCTTGCCTGAATCCCAGGTGAGCTGTACATTCCAAATTTTTCAGACAGCCTGAATGTGACCTTTCTGTGCTTTTCTCTGCTGCCCAAAACCCACAGTGCCCAGCAGGTACTCTGATCCAAGTTTGCCATAAATGGCTCTAGGCAGCTACGTTTGGCACAGTGGGAATTGGGCACCTCCCAGGCTTGTTTACTGATCTCATTGCTTCCTTTCTTTGCTTCGACTCACTCTTTTTCCCTAAACTTTATACACTTAACCTCAGTGACTGGCCTACCATGTAATTCAGAAATGAGTGATAGTACAGCTTTTGTAGTGGCAAGTACTGAACTAAAACCCAGCCTCCTCTTTAGAGTTTGTTGACATTTGAAGATGTGGCCCTGTCTTTTTCTGAGGAAGAATGGGAATTACTGGCACCTACTCAGAAGATGCTCTACAATGATGTCATGCAGGAAAACTATGAGACTGTCATCTCTCTAGGTAAAGATTCTTCTTTTCTTTGTATAGAAGTTGAATAATCTGTTATGTCCTTATTTTATGGAAAATGCTCTTATGTGAGAGTCCCTGTGTTCCAGTAGCTTGTTGGTTCTCAACCTGATGGTGTGGGGTAAAAAAAAAGCATATCCAGATCACCTAGAGCTTCAGTTTTCAACTTTTCTCATCTTATGGCACACATAAACTAATAACTAAAATTCTGTGGCACACCAAAAGATATATTTTTTACCAATCTGACACACAAAAAAAAGGTATAATTTTGCTTCCTTCTCACCAGATGGCTATTGTGCTGGCTATTGTCATTTTTAATTTCACAATCTAAAGGAAAATAGGTCAGTGCCCCTGACTAATCAGTCAGGTATTACATGTTTCAAAAATTCTTTTATTACCTCTTTTTTAAAGTATATTTTATTGATTATGCTATTACAGTTGTCTAATTATTTTCTCCCCTTTACCCCCTCCATCCTACACCTCCCTTCCCGCCAGCATTCCCTTAGTTCATGTCCATGGGTCATACATGTAAGTTCTTTGGCTTCTCCATTTCCTATACTACTCTTAACCTCCCCCCTGTCTATTTTGTACATACCAATTATGCTTCGTATTCCCTGTACCTTTTCCCCATTCTCCCCACTCCTGCTCTCCACTGATAGCCCTCCATGTGATCTCCATTTCTGTGATTCTGTTCCTGTTCTGGTTTGCTTAGTTTGTTTTTGTTTTTGTTTTTTTAGGTTCAGTTGTTGATAGTTGGGAGTTTGCTGTCATTTTACTGTTCATAGTTTTGATCTTCTTTTTCTTAGATAAGTCCTTTTAACATTTCCTATAATAGGGCTTGGTGATGATGAACTCCTTTAACCTTACCTTGCTTGGGAAGCACTTTATCTGACCTTCCATTCTAAATGACAGCTTTTCTGGATAGAGTAATCTTGGATGTAGGTCCTTGCCTTTCATGACTTTGAATACTTCTTTCCAGCCCCTTCTTGCCTGTAAGGTTTCTTTTGTGAAATCAGCTGACAGTCTTATGGGAACTCCTTTGTAGGTAACTGTCTCCTTTTCTCTTGCCGCTTTTAATATTCTCTCCTTTTCTTTAATCTTGGGTAATTTAATTATGATGTGTCTTGGTGTGTTCCTCCTTGGGTCCAACTTCTTTGGGATTCTCTGAGCTTCCTGGACTTGCACGTCTATTTCCTTGGCCAGATTGGGGAAGTTCTCCTTCATTATTTTTTTCAAATAAGTTTTCAGTTTCTTGCTCTTCCTCTTCTCCTTCTGGCACCCCTATGATTCAGATGTTGGAACCTTTGAAGTTGTCCTGGAAGTTCCTAAGCCTCTCCTCATTTTTTTGAATTCTTGTTTCTTCACTCTGTTCCAGTTGAATGTTTATTTCTTCTTTCTGCTCCAAATCATTGACCTGAGTCCCAGTTTCCTTTCCTTCGCTGTTGGTTCCCTGTATATTTTTTCTTTATTTCACTTTGTATAGCCTTCACTTCTGCCTTTATTTTGCATCTGTACCCAACCATTTCCGTGACCATCCTGATTACCCGTGTTTTGAACTCTGCATCTGATAGGTTGTCTATCTCCTCGGTGCTTAGTTCTTTTTCTGGAGTTTTGATCTGTTCTTTCATTTGGGCCACATTTCTTTGTCGCAGCACACCCGTTATGTTGCAAGGGGCAGAGCCTTAAGTATTCACCAGGGTGGGGGAACCCACGTCTCTGCGTTGTGATGCTGTGTGCGGGGGAGGGGTCCGAGAGGGAACAATGCCACTTGCTTGCCTCTCAGATGGCTTTCAGGCACTTTCCCCGCTACCCACAAGCAAATTGGGCCCTTCTGGTGCTGATTCTTGGGTGGGTGCGTTTCTGTACATTCTAGGACCCCATGGGTCCCTCCAACGGGCTCTCCTGTGGGACTGGGACTTTCTCCCACCCTCACAACCCCCACAGATTTTTACAGCCAGAGGTTTTGAGGCTTTCATTTCCCACACTGGAACCCTGGGTTGCGTGGTCTGTCTTGCTCCCTAGTTGTTCCTCCCAGTTTATCCTCATGTGAATGTGGGACCTCCCAATCCGCCAGTTGCTGCCTCGCCCACCCGGTCTGTCAGGTACTGCCTTGCCGCACGTCCTCTCTGCCCTGCTGCCCATCTCTGCCCTCCTACCAGTCTGGATGAATATTTCTTCTTTAACTCCTTGGTTGTCGGACTTCCATACAGTTCGATTTTATGGCACTTCTGGTTGGGTTTTGTTCTTAAATTGGTTCCCTAGCTGGTGTGGCTCGATGGATTGAGCACTGGCCTGCGAACCAAAAGGTCGCCAGTTCGATTCCCAGTGTAGGCAACATGCCTGGGTCGCAGGCCAGTTGCCCAGCAGGGGCCATGTGAAATGTAACCAGACATTGATGTTTCTTTCCCTCTCTTCCCCCTCTAAAAATAAATAAACAGTATTTTTAAAAAATTGGTGGTTGTCTTTCTTTTGGTTGTGTGAGGAAGCAAAGCGTATCTACCTACACCTCTGTCTTGGCCAAAAGTCTTTTAAAAATTCTTGATGCACAGCCTGACAGGTGTGGCTCAGTTGGTTGGGTATTGTCCCTCAAAGCAAAAGGTCATCAACTCAATTCCTGGTAAGGACACATTTAGATTGTAGGTTCAGTCCCCAACCGGGGACATGGAAGAGGCAACTGATCAATGTTTCTTTCTCAGATTGATGTTTCATTCCCTCTCATTCTCCCTCCCTTGCCCTCTCTCTTAAAAAAAAAAAAATTCTTGCAGCACACCAGTGTGCCTCTTGCTGCTCACAAGTTGAATATTGCTGACCTAGGCAGCTTTTTACAAGTTCTACCTCTTTAGAACTCTGAATCCATCATATCATACTCCCTGCCCCATCCAGCAAACCTGCTCTTCTTATATCCTTTTCATCACAGTAAAAGGCACGGTGATTTAACCAATTGCTCTGGCAAAAAACCTCTAAGTCTTTATTCCACTTTTTTTTGTGAATCCCAACAACGGATCCATCAACAAGTCTTCAACACACATCCTGAATATGATCCTGCCTCAACATCTTCCACTCTTTTTTTATTATTAAATTTATTGGGGTGACATCAGTCAACAAGATCCTATAGGTTTCAAGTGTACATTTCTATGATACGTGATACGTATGTTGCATTGTGTGCCCACCATCCAAAGTCAAATCATCTTCTGTGACCATATATTTGTCCCCATTTACCCTTTACTACATACCACTCCCTTCCCTCTGGTAACCACCATACTGTTGTCGAGTTTCACTTTTATATTCCACACATAAGTAAAATCATATGGTTCATAGCTTTTTCTGATGACTTATTTCACTTAGCGTAATATTCTCAGCCTTCTTCCACACCTTTTTAATAGTAATTTATTGATTATGCTATTACAGTTTTCCCAAGTTTTCCCCTTTGCTCCCCACCACCCAGCACCCCCACTCCCTCAGGCAATCAAAACACCATTGTTCATGTCCATGGGTCATGCATAGGTTCTTTGGCTACTCCATTTCCTATACTGTATTTTACATCCCCACGACTAATCTGTAACTACCTATTTGTACTCCTTAATCCACTCACCTCTCCACCCATTCCCCAATACGCACCTACCATCTGGCAACCATCAAAATGCTCTCCGTATCCATGATTCTGTCTGTGTTCTTGTTTGCTTAGCTTGTTTTTTAGATTCAACTGTTGATAGATATGTACTTATTGCCGTTTATTGTTCATAGTTCTGATCTTCCTTTTCTTAAATAAGTCCCTTTAACATTTCATATAATAATGGTTTAGTGATGATGAATTTCTTTTGTTTTTTCTTGTCTGGGAAGCTCTTTATCTGCCATTCAATTCTGAATGATAGCTTTGATGGGTAGAGCACCCTGCTTTTCATGACTTTGAATATTTCTTGCTAACCCCTTCTAGCCTGTGAAGTTTCTTTTGAGAAATCAGCTGATAGTCCTACGGGAACTCCCCTGTAGGTAACTAACTGCTTTTGTCTTGCTGCTTTTAAGATTCTTTATCTTTAACCTTTAGCATTTTAATTATGATGTGTCTTGGAGTGGGCCTCTTTGCATCCATCTTGTTTGGAACCCTGTGCTTCCTGGACTTGCACGTCTATTTCCTTCACCAAATTTGATAAGTTTTCTCTTTTATTATTTTTTCAAATAGATTTCCAATTTTTTGCTCTTTCTCTTTGCTTTCTGGCACCTCTATATTGCAAATGTTGGACCACTTGAAGTTGATCCAGAGGCTGATTATAATATTCTCGGGGGTGTTTTTAAATTTTTTTTCTTCTTGTTCTGATTGTGGGTTTGTTTTTTTTCTTCCTTATATTCCAAATCATTGTTTTGATTCTCGGCTTTATCCACTCTACTGTTGTTTCCTTGTAAATTGTTCTTTATTTCAATTAGTGTATCCTTTGTTTCTGACTGGATCTTTTTTATGCTGTCGAGGTTCTCACTAAGTTCATTGAGCATCCTTATAACAAATGTTTTGAACTCTGCATCTGGTAGGTTGCTTATCTCCATTATGTTTAGTTCTTTTTCAGGAGTTTTGATCTGTTCTTTCATTTGGTCCATGTTTCTTTGTCTGCTTATTTTGGCTGCCTCCTCGTGTTTGCTTCTATGTGTTAGGTAGAGCTACCATGGCTTCCTGTCTTGGTAGCATGGCCTATTGTAGTAGGTGTCCTGTAAGATCCAGTGGCACAGCCTCTCCTATTACCCAAACTGTGTACTCAGGTGCATTCTTTATGTGGGCTGAATACACCCTCCTCTTATAGGTGAGCCTTGATTGCTGTTGGCAGGTCAATGGGAGGGATTTACCCAGGCCAGTCAGCTGCAAAGTCTCTTTGTGACCACTGACCACCAGCCTCCCCACTCCATGGAGGATCAGCTATGTGGAGGTAGGGTATTGGTGCTCTGATGTGGTCTGAGGCTGTCTAGTGAGTGTGCTGGCCTTGATGTTTCCTAGGTGTTGTAGGCCA